CGGGCGATATGAATTGAACATCCCTAGGACATCTGGCATTTTTTTCCCTGCCTCTACAGTCCCCTGTATGTTAGCATGTATCCATGCGCACACAAACTTTTAGAGGCGTTTAGTTGTGGGAAAGTTTAGAGGCAGGAAAAAACCCACTGCCAGTGCGTCCTGGAGCAGCAGAGTTTTGGCAGAAAAACCCTTGTGGAGTCTAAACGCGCATTAATGGTAGGCACATTTAGCGCTTGAGCGTTCATTTAGTGCAGTGGACAGAATAAGTTATTAATTATTCTGGCCAGTGAAATTAACGCCCAAAATGCTTAACGCAACTAAACGCTTTACACACTTTTAAAAGCACCAGGGGTTTTTGTGACCAAAACGCTGCTGCTAGGAGAGGTAAAGAAAACGTTTAGTGTGCATGAGGCCTAAGAAGTGCACATTACTGTACAAATTATTTTTTGTGTAGCTAAACCTTTTTTTGTAATCAAGAGCCTGTTCCCTGCCCTGTACATGTACCTTATTCATTCACAGACTGATCTAGGGAGAAGGACAGCACTCAGGCTTCTTGCGCCCAGGTTCTTTCACACATTCAGTCCTATTTTACGGACAATGTGGGTTCTGTATCCTCGGCCGTCTCTCTGTGGGAAGCTCGCAAACCCACCATTAGGGGTCATTTGATTCAGATAGCCTTGTCCAGGAAACATGCCAGAGAGAGGAGGATGTTGGAATTGGCCGTGGTGGACGCTACTTGGAAAGCCTGCCCAACTACGGCCAATAGGAAAGCTCGAGATGTGGTGGCGGCTGAACTTGATCTTCTCTCCACTATATGAGCTGAGAAGGCCTTGCGTTGGGCCGGACATAGGTTTAATACATGCGCCAATAAACCGGGGCCAATGTTGGCCAAGAAGCTTAATTTGCTTGGTCGCATGCATAAACCTGTTCAACTCCAAATGAGGGGCGGTGGCCTTACCTCGGACCCTGTGAAGTTTACTCATAGATTTGCGGAAAAACCGAACACCTTTGTCGCTGAACACGCTGATAGTTTTTTCGCTGAGCTGCACCTACCCTCTTTGTCTGTTGCAGCCCGAGATGCCCTGAATGCGGATATCTCTGAATCTGAGCTCTACCATGCCATCAAATCTTTGAAGGCCTCCAAGGCTCCAGGCCCAGATGGGTTTTCTGGGCTCTACTATAAAAAAATTTGCCACCATTCTGGTTCTTCATTTGACGGCCTTTTTCAATTCTTTGAAGCAGGGTTCCCGGCTTTCTTTGGAGTCTCTTCAGGCGCATATTACTATGATCCCTAAGAAAACTGAAATGCTTTTGAACTGCAAGCTTTCTGACCGATTTTGCTGCTAAATGTGGACTTGAAGATTTTGGGAAAGGTTCTGAGCACCCGAATTAATAAGTACCTACTCTCACTTATTCATCGAGATCAGGTTGGCTTCGTTCTGGGGCGACAAGCTGCTGATAACATCCGTAAAGTCATCCATCTCATTCATATTTTATATCGCCGTAAGATACCAGGGTTTCTTTTATCCCTGGACATTTATAAAGCGTTTGATTCACATTCTTGGGAATATTTGGCATGCACGCTGTCTAGATGGGGGTTTGGTGACATATTTCTGGCTTGGATCTCAGCTTTATACTAGTCTCCCTCGGCCTCTGTTAAATATGCAGGGTTTTTTTTTTTTCTCATCCTTCCCTATATTCAGGGGCACGAGACAGGGATGCCCATTATCACCTGCTTTTTTTGTTCTCGCTCTTGAACCTTTAGCTGCAGCCATTCGCAATCACCCGGATATTTCTGGTGTACCCTATGCCGGCACCCAATACAAGGCCTACTTTTATGCGGATGATGCCCTTTTGGTTTTAACCAATCCTCTCATCACTCTCACCAATCTCCAGGCCATATTGGACCGTTTTTTTTCGACTATATCTGGCCTCCGCATCAATTTTGTCTAAAACCACGGCATTGAATATTACGCTTCCTGCTGACCTGTTTGAGCGGGTGCAGACACAATTTCCCTACCGTTGGGCATCCCATTCTCTGGCTTACCTTGGCGTTACACTTCCTTCCTCCTACTCTGCCTTTTTTTGGCTAATTATTACCCCTTATTGCGCTCTGTTAAGCCTGCTTCATTCTTTACAGTTTCCTTCTTTTGGATTGGCCAGATACATGCTGTCAAGATGACCATCTTGCCGAAGATTCTGTACTTTTTCCGCACTCTCCCTATTCAGGTTCTTGCGTCTTTTCTTCGTGTACTGCAAAGCCGGATTCTCCATTTTATTTGGGCTCATAAATGTCCCAGAGTGCCTAGGGCGGTTTGGGAGTTCCACATATTTCTAGATGCTACTTGGCGGCTTATATTTCCCAGTTGTCTATGCGTCATGCCACGACAGATATCCCGTTATTAGTACTCTTGGAATTGCCCAACTGTGCTCCGCTTTCCTTAACTACATTGCTTTGGCTCCCGCCTAAGTTGCGCCCTCCGGATTTGAGCCCTATCATGCTTCCCATTTTACGAACCTAGGATTCTGTAAAATATTCTGGTAATTTGATTTCATGATTTCTACCTCTTTTGCCGATTATGCATAATCCTTTATTTCCGCCAGGCCTAGAACATCCCCCTTTGTTCTCTTGGTGGACCTCCCATGGCTTTGTTATTGTACATGATTTTCTGAGCGCTCGTACGTTTCCATCATGGGAGTCTCTTCAAGAATCAAGGAGGGTCCCGCCATGGGAATATTATCGGTGTTTGAAATTGCGCCACTGGGTCCTATCCCTCTGTCGTACCTCTACATACCCTTACTGCAAAACGCCCTTTGAGCACGTTTGTCAGCATTCCCCAGGGTCCCCTGGTCTCATTTCTGTAATTTATGCCTCCCTTAACAGTACGTCCTCCTCACCTCCCCTGTCTTATGTCTCTCAATGGGATCGAGATCTGGGTGTCTCGATTGTGGCGGAGGATTGGCGTAGGGCCTGGGGGATGGTGACGAAATGTTCATTCAATACAGTTACTCTTGAGCAGCCTACAAAGTTCTCCTGCAGTGGTACTGGGTCCCGGCGCGGACTGCTCACTTTAATCCGACTGGCGGAGATAGGTGTTTCCGGAACTGTGGTCTACGCGGGGACGTCTTGCACATTTGGTGGTCATGCCCACGATTGATAGGCTTCTGGTCTAGGGTTTTTGGTTTGCTACAAACACCATTTCATATTACGGTCCGTAGGGATGTAAGGGTGGCCCTCCTGCATTGCCCAATTTTGGGTCTGTCTAGGTCTCAGCAGAAATTGTCATCCTACCTATTTATTTCGGCCAAACGTGCTATAGCTCAAGCTTGGAGAACCCCTTCGGTTGTCTTCCAGGGGGGGTGAAGACCCGGATGAATGCTATGTTGATCAATGAACAGATGACTAGCATTCTTCATGATTCTCATCCAAGATTCCTTAAAGTTTGGGAACCTTGAATACGTTATTCCTTGCCATCCCTGTCTCCTACTAGTTATGGCCTCTTATAGTTGCTGCCTGTGCTAGCCCTGGATCTGTGATTCTTCTAGTTTCTCTTTCCTCCATGTTTTCTTTCTGATTCCTTTTTTTTTTTTTTTATGTTCTTTATCTTTTCTTCTAACCTTTTTTTCTTTTCTTTTTTCGGTACTATTTTGGATTACTGCTGCTATTATTTGGTTCGGCTTTTTCCCGTTCCCTCCCTGATGTCATCGGACATTTTTTATTTGGCTATGACAAGTCAGCAGGATATATCTGTTTGTGTTATTGTTCTGCTCTGCCCCTGCGTGGGCGTATCTTGAGCTTGTTGTATTCTTAAAACAAAACTTTCTTAATAAAAATATTGAAACAAAATTAGGGAGAAGGAGATGGGGGGTTCTTCCAGTGTGCATTCTTCATTTTTTAGTGAGACTCCTGTCCATTTATGGCAAAGCTTGTGCAGCAGCTAGGTTGTCAAGTAAAAGCGTGTGCGCGCATGTGTGTATATGATCTAATATAATTTAAAATATAAACATGCGGTAAGCGTTTATTCTGAACATGCAGTAATCGTGCTTTAAAACCATTCCTCACTGACCTCTGTAAGTGCAGCCACTGTGGAGAAATTCATCCTTAAATTCACAGCAGAAGTACTGAAGTTCTTGAAGTAATTTGCTCAGCAGCTCATCCTCCTTCTGCTGTTAAATTTGAGGATGAATTGCTCTACAGTGCCTGCAACTACGTAGGCCAGTAAAGGCTTGTTTTTAAAGTTCATTCACTGCTTGTTACAAATATGTAAATACTTGAATGTCTATGTCCAGGTCACAGGTTCACTTTAAAACTATAAAATGTATATGCCTTTATTAGCAGGCATGATGTGTACTTACACTTTTATTGATCAGCAGTCGCCCTCTGTGCATCTGGAGAATACCAGGCCAGCTATAGCCGTAGGGGGCTGGTCATCTGAAATAGGTCCACCCTAGGGAATTCAGCTCTTTTTCTTTGGTTAGTTGGCAGAGGGTGAATAGTGCAGTTTGTTTCCTAACACAGGAAAAAGGCATAGGTAATAGAAAATAAATTGTTTTCATTGGGAACTATAATCATTGTGTAGGGAAAAACAAGTCCTCCTTGCTTCATTGATGCCTTCTTCTGCCCTTACCCATATGAGTCAGTGGAATGGGGTCCTTCAAAATTGTATGTCATTGTGCATCACCAAAGCATGCATTTCCCAGGGTCTGGTAAAATTGAGACCCAACATAGAGGCGACATCCACTTTGTGTGGTACCTGTGGGAGGACCACTAAAGAGAGCATTTCTGAAACTGTATTTTTAATACAATAGTAATAATTGGCATAACATGAAAATGAAAGGTACCTTAAACTACAATAATATAAATGTTTCATTTTTGGTAAAGGGAAAAAAAAAGAAAATGCAAATACACTGGTGTCTTCCTTTTTTTAATGCTCTGTTTTTATATTGCTATAACTGGATTGGTTCAAAATGTTTTTATATCTAATTTTCTTTCAACTTAGATCTTCACAGAGCAATATTTCAAAAGCACTGGATGCCTTTGGTAAGTGCCCTTCTGTAAATTCAGCTAAACAGTTCAATGGCCAAACTGACCAGGTTCATTAACCTAACTTTTGTGTCCTATTTCAGTAAAATCTTTGAAGTTGTCCGTCACCAAAGAAATGCTGCTGCTAAGCGTATCTATGGCTTACACAGGTAATGTCCCTTGGCGCTGGAGTAAGCAGAGGTCAGAAGGCTCAGGCTGTGTGTTCAGTGTTGTTTGCGCGGCTTATGTTCTGTGTAAAGTAGAATTTCACTGAGCTTCAGAAGTAGCCATGGAAAATGATCAGCATGAAATCTCGCACACTGTGAGAAGGAAACTAAATGAAAACTTGTTTTATGCTGTATGTGTGTAAACCTACTTCTAGACTATGTAATGTGACAGCAGCCCCTAAATAAAATTACAATTACATGCCATGAACCTTGACCGTGCAGTTAAGATGCAAACTCCCTTACTATATATGGGCCCCCTCCCCTGTTATTAATAACCACATTTAACATTAAAAAAAAAAAAAACTGGAGGAAAGTATTGACTTTCCCAGTTTTGATTTGCAGCACTTAACCACTTCCTGTCTGGCCCATGTATATAAACGGCCGGACGGGACCAGTGCAGGGGCGGGTGGCCATTTATAAACATCCTCCCGCATTCCCTGCCTGTGCGCGCTCCCTGGGAGCGAGTGGCACCTCAATCCAGAGGACACAGTGGAACACCAATCGCTGTACGGGACCTCTATGTGAGGTCCCGATCATGTGATCACTGATTGGCTAATCAGTGATCACATGAATATAGTAAGCAAAATGTCACTTCCTGACATCATTGCTTACCACTAGTGAAATCTATGAATGATCACAGAGGTCACATGGTACAAGGCTATTCACAACAGCCTTGTACCATGTGACAAGCTGTGACCAATCACAGCTCCCATAGTATTTCTCAATGGCTGCAAGAATGTAGCCAGAGAGAAGGAGAAATGATTGCTTTTACAGCCTTTATGGGTGTAAAAGCACCAAGTGTTTAAAAAATAATAAAATCTTCATCACCCTTCCACAAGTAGTACAGTGTTACTATGGTGACAGTGTACTGCTAGGGTGACAGTATGTTAAAAAAAAAAAAATTAAATAATATAAAAAATAAAATAAAAATGTAAAAACATGTTTTTAAAAAATTATAATTTTTGGTTATAAACAAATTTGGGTTTTTTTTTTTTCTCTACTAAAAAGGTAGCTGAATACATTTTGGCCAATATTTATGGAGAAAGATTATTTATTTGCAAAATTTTATAAGAAAAGCACTTTTTGTTTCAAAATGATTTTAAACTTTTTTCATTTATGTAGAAAAACAATAAAAATCCCAGTGGTGAATAAATACCACCAAAATAAAGTTTTCTGTCTCAAAAAAAAAATGCTAAAAAATTCATATGGGTACAGTGTTGCATGACCGTGCAATTGTCATTCAAAGTGTGATACCGCTGAAAGCTGAAAATTGGCCTGGTCAGGAAGGGGTGAAAGTGTCCGGCCTTGAAGTGGTTAAGCAAGGAGGATCTTGCATTCCTTCCAGCATGATCCCAGAGAATGCTGAGCAGCCCAGATTTCATAGAAAGGCACTCCTGCATTGTGTTAGGGTCTGTTTGTCAGAAAGATAGGGAAGAAGTATAATAGATTGTTACCCCTATATTGTTTTTAATCATCTACTTGTGGGGCCTGATATATTAAACAAACCTTGCATTTTATAGCAAGGCCCACTTTAAAGGGTAGCTGTAGTTTCACTCATAACTTTCATCACATGTTGTTGGCTCGCCTACAACATTTAATCAGAACTGCAGCCAAAACATTTCTCTTGTTTTTGATGCAGTAGTGAAGGGGTTAGAACCTCTGCCATTTTTTCCTATTGCCAGCAGGTGAGAGTTCTGTGGCACCCAAATTGCAAAGCTGGTGCCTAGATCCAACATGCTCAGTCGTTTATAAAGTGCAATACTGAGACCGCTCTCAAACAAAAGGGTCACAATGTGGTGTTTTATGTGAGATGTAAGAAATATAGAACAAAGAGTTAGGACATAGTAAGGGACATTTTATAATTTTGTTGATCAAAAGTATGCTCTGTCCAAATGAAGAAAGATCAAAGAGATGGTGAGATCACTTCAATAGTTTGGCTGGTTTTAAAGGGTTCTATAACACCTGAAACATGTTAAAGCATACTAATGAATTGCCATTATTTGTTCACATAAATCATATCATGCTAGTGTATTTTTTTTTTTTACGCATTTAAGTGGTCACATGATCTTTCCCTGTTTTTTTTGGCATCTGCAGGGAAGGATCCTTGGGAAGGGATTCTATTCTATGTGTTCAGATGGCATCTTGCATCCAAGGCACTTTTTTTAATTTAAAAGTATTAGAAATTACATTTTATATATTTATTGCTGATTTATATTAAAATTAACCTTTTTGTGAGTTTCTTAGTTAATGTTCTCAATCGGCATTCTATATCCCACCTCCATAGTGTTTAGCAATAGGACGACATGGATGAAGGAGGGAGGGGAGTGTCATTTACCACTGTGCATACAACCACGTGTGACTCAGTTATATGAGTTTCACAGATAAGAAAAAAGGAGGAAATGGAGAGCCTAGAACTGAGCGTGCTCAGTAGAGGACACCAGCTGGTCTACACAATCTCCACCTGTAATGGGGACACAGACGATGGGAGGGATAGCTGAAGGCAGGATCAACCAGGTATATTTCACTCTGCAGAAAACAAATTCTTTAGCGGTTTTGCAGGTATGCACACTCTGTTATATAGCATGTAATGCAAATTTTTTCATAGTCTGGGTTTAACAACACATTATGTGACTTTTTAATTGATCCAACTTAGTTTTATACGTTTTATTTGTTGGCAACAAAGATGGATCTGACCGAGAGGGGTGATGTTTGTCATGTTGAGCATTGTCGCCAGAACAGAAAGCAAAAGGAAATTTTAAAATGTTACTAAACCCAGGACCCTGCATTCACTATATCTGGTCTCCCACAGTTCACTCAACATGGAAATGTAATTATTTTAGTAAATATAAACTGTTAAATACCTTTTCTTATCAGCAATTAGAGCAGACTTGTGACTTCTATCAGTGTCCAGCACTGGTTAAAGCTTGTTTTCATTCTCTAATAGGAGAATGCAGGACCCCTGACCTCTGTCTGGGGAGTGCTTGTGCTGATTGGTCCTGTGCTGATCACATGCCACTCTCCCAAGAGGAAAAAGTATTTAGCAATACACACCAAACTGAGCATGTGCAGCCAGTTCCCATGCCTCTGTTTTATCAGGAGATATTTAGGAGATCAGAGAAGACAGGATCAAACATCCTTTTTTCAGGTTCCATAGTGAGTATAACAAGCATGCTTTACTGCATATACAGACAGATTTTATTGTTGTGAGTTTAGTAACACTTTAAGGCTGGAATGGTCTAAGTGGTTTTCAAATAAAAGAAAAAGTCTTCTGTAAAGGGGGGGATAGAGAAATATTAAAATATATGAACATTTACATGGTTGCTGTCTCCTACTGTCATTGCATGCTGAAAGACTGGACTCTTTCAGCAAATTTCCTGGAATACATCAGTCCGGTGACAAGGGAAGCCATACATTTTTCCAGCTTCTATATCAGAGCTCTTCACTATTGTATATTTTCCTGCATTAAAGCTAAACTGTGGTGCATTGGTCACTGGCTTTGCAAACTGCCACATATAGATGCAGCCAGCAACAGCCTGTCATTGCAGTTGCTCATACACATGCTTGGTGGCCATTGCTATCCACATGCAACTGTCAGTCCCAGCAGCAGGAATCAATAGATTATTTCCACTGGGATTCGCAGCAAAGCAAACACCCGTGCCGATGGAGCCTTGCAGTTCATACGCATTCAAAGCCTGTCCCCTGCCAGCTTGCTGTCTGTGTGGAAGCAGTGGTCTCTCTGCAGAGGTATGACACTCCTGCTGAGACAGTGCTTCATCATTCTATATAGAAAAGCTCATGTTTCCTGCTGATCAGAGAGCTCTAGCTTTGACTTAGCTGAGGTTTGTTGGACCTCTCCAAAGAGAGACAGAGGGCAAGGGTCCTACTTTGCAGCCTGCTAGCAGGGGACAGGCTTTTCTGCTCAGGCTGTGGCTGCTTTCTAAAGAAAACAAAATGTAACACTTTGCACACCCTTTTGTTTTGATGCACATGGAATGTGTTTAGCTGATTTACATAATAAAATGTTGCACATCTTTTACCCAAGCTTTTGTTCTATAATTTGACATTCCTGATATATTTTACCTTTTGTATTTAAAAATGTAACCATTCACAGGGTAGTAGCATTCATCAATTCACCTGCTATACATGCAGCAGGCTTTTCCAGCAAGATCTGTTCCTAACAGCCACGAAGACAAAAGAATTGGCTTGCCGTACAATTACTTCTTAACCCAGCTTTATTTTTCCTGCAAATGATTGTAGAGGTGAAAATTGCTGAATGAATTATTGATTATCTCCACCTTCAAAGCCATTTAAGCTAGGAAAACAAAACATGCTAAAGATCTCTACCAGAAAGAAGCTACCAGATAACATTTGGTGAAAGGAATGTTGCATTAATAAAGAGGCATACCATTAGGCTGATTTTCTCACATTTTTAATGGATACCTATAGGGTTTTAGCAAGAACCTTTTCTATGGGACAGGCTGATAACAAGATATTTAATGTGACAAAGGCAGAGGCCAGAAGGGTAATAGAAAATCTGCTACACCCAGTAGCATGCAGACTTTTGCACACCAAATGGCCATCTTTAAAATCCATTACATACTTTCTGTAATGAGATCGGAGAAGGCAAAGCAGGCATAAAATGTTATTTTCATTTGCAGCAACCAATGCAGACTATGGTTTTTTTTCTTCCTTTTTGACGTTTCACTGTGAGGCATTAATATCTGGCATTTCTGATGGCGCTGGGTTTCATGTTACATTTTTATTATATTACGTGTGCCGGGAAATATCTAATCTCCACCTGCTCTATATTCATGACAAATAGAGGCTTATATTTAGGTGGATTTCTGTAGGACTTTTAAATTAATTGTGCTGCGTTTTTATTGCATCTGTGTATATAGGCAATTTCACTTTTATAAATATTACGTTAAGATTTTTGCCAAGGGTTCTATCTGGGCTTGCTCCTTCCTCCTCAATTCGATTTCTTCCCAGCATAGATTAGAATGAAAATGCTTTCATCTGTACCAAAGCTCTGGAACATTCACTTATCAGAATTCTGTATTGTGACTATCAATTTAGATAGAGTAGAAGGGAGGGGATGGGAAAAGAATATTTTGCAGGGTCTAGGACAGTGATCTATGTTTACTATGAATGGCATTACAGTCAGATTCACACCCCTGTGCTGTGCTGCTGCAAGCATTTTAGAGAGATCGTGTCAAGTGTCTAAAGGTTTAAATTCAGCATCCTCTTGCAGTAGAAGACAGCATATACTGTTGAAACCTCCAAAAGCCTCTTTGGCATTCATCACATCAAAGAATGCTCGATGCCTGACCCCAATGCAGGCTGTGTTGTTTTTTTTTTTTTTTTTTTTTTTTTTTTGTTTTGTTTTTAACAAATATTGCTACAGGGTGGCATGGGTGCGCAAAATCACGTATATGTGTGTATGTGTGTGTATGTATGTATGTATGTATGTATATATATATATATATATGTATATAGTATATATATATATATATATATATATATATATATATATATATATATATATATATATATATATATATAAAAAATAAAATAAACGTGATTTTGCGGTTTCGGGTAGGGGGTGCGCGAGCCCTACCAAAGCCACCATTCGTGGCCTCAGCTGTCAATCACTGGGTCCCAGCCTAGCAGAGCCATACAAATCAGTGTGCTTACAGTGAAACACCCAGCCCATGTAGTAAAGCAGCACACAGTTTAACCCTTTGATTGCCCCACATGTTAACCCCTTTCTGTCCAGTGCCATTAGTACAGTGTTAGGTGCTTTTTATTACTATATTGGTGTCACTGGGGATGCCAGTGACACCAAGTCAGTTCCCCCCAGTGTCAGAATGCCCGCTGAAGTCCTGCTATAAGTCACTGATCGCCGCCATTACTTCTACCAGTATATTATTATTATTATTATTATACAGTATTTATAAAGCGCCAATAGTTCGCTCAGCGCTGTACATTACAAAAGGGAGACAGAACATGTGACAGAACAATACCAATACAATGCAAGACATTGTTAACGATATAACTTGCATGAAACCAATTTATTTACACGTATTGGAATTTTTTTTTTAGGCAAAGACGTTGTAGAATACATTTTTGGCCTAAATTTATGTAAAAATTTGATTTTTAAAATTTTTTTTTTTTACTGGACATGTTTAATAGCAAAAAATAATGGGGTTTTTTCTTAAAATTGTCGGTCTTTTCTTGTTTATAGCGCCAAAAATTGAGAACGCACAGGCAATCAAATACCACTGAAAGAAAGCTCTATTTGAGGGGGAAAAAAGGCTGCAAATTTGGGTGCAGCGTTGCATGACCACACAGTTGTCAGTTAAAATAAAGCAGCGCTGTATTGCAAAAAATGTCCTGGTCAGGAAGGAGGGTAAATCCTCTGGAGGGCAAGTAGTTAATGACCCTTGAGTCACTGTTGACTTATGTGGTGATGTAGGGGGTCAGCTACAGTGCTGGAATGGAGGAAATTGAAATGGACAGAGAAGGGAGTAAATGCTATTCTGATGAAAACCTTAGAGACCTGTAAGAGTTTCTTTAATGTGTGTTGCTGTAAGGTAACCTATTCATTTTCAACGGGCTGCTAACACTGTAGTGGACCTTTTTTTTTTAATGCTTGTGCCCTTCTTTCTTTTTTTTTTTTTTTTTTTTTTTTTTTCCCAGCACACCACAACAGTTCACATATATGTAGGGTGTGCAGAAATGCAGATCCATTGGTAATGTGCATTGAGGTGCTATTCAAAATGGATGGTTCCATACTTATGATGGGGTAGCATGCTATAAAGGACTCTATGGCTTTCTGTAGCTCTCAATGGCTTTCTATGGTTTATGGCCCCTCCTCTTCCTTACTGATTTTTATTTAAACCTACCCTGGTCTTTTCTTTTTTATTACTGGACTTGATAAAAGCAGCACGTTGCTTCGAAACATGTCATCCATTACAGAAGACTGCTTTTTTGGACTAATTTCTGTCCTTATCTGCTTAAGACACCTTTGTCTGGCGCTTATCACTTCTGGTTGAAGGCTTCCTGTGATGTCACATCCAGTTCCTGTACTTGGGTATGTCTTTAGGCTTTTTGTGTGACACCGTATCGCACCAAGTACAGCTACAGCCTGTTTGTGGAGTGGAACTCTGAGCCCGTTTGTTATTATTCCAGGTACTTCTATAGCACTGTCAATTTACACAGCGCTTTACATATATATTGTACAATTCCATCAGTCCATAACCCTCAAGGGGAGAACAATCTAAGGTCCCTTACTCACATCCATACATACTAGGGCCAATTTAGACAGAAGCCAATTAACCTACTGGCATGTCTTTGGAGTGTGGGAGGAAACCGGAATACGTGGAGGAAACCAACACAGGCACAGGGAGAACATGCAAATTCCAGGCAGGTGGTGCCGTGGTCGGGATTTGAACAAACGACCCTAGTATTGCCAGGCGGAAGTGCTTAAACATTTAGCCACTGTGCTGCCATTTGTTATATTTCACCAGTGATCAATAAACATTGGAACTATATTCCTTTTATTATATGGTGACTTAATTTGGTACAAGGGGATGATTTACAGTCCCTAGATAGCCTTGAAGCACTACCTCATTTCCTGTATTCCAGTGGTTTGTCAGCTGCTCAGGTTTGGGGGACCTTTCAGCTTCTGGAAGATCTCTGATGGACAGCTTTGAGTATTTGTTGATGCTGTAACGCTCGCCTATTTACTTTACATAAGATGAAGATATACTTGCAGGTTAGCATTAGGTCAGAATGTAAATTTTATGCTTGTTTTATTTATTCATATTCCATTGCTACCATGGCGACTATGGTTACTATGTTAAAGATTAATAGAAGACATTGGACCTGCCAAAAGGATTTGTTGCCCCACTGTCAGAATTCAATGTTCCGGCAGGGGGGATTCCTCCATCCACCTTATTTTTATGAATGGAGGATTCTGTTTATTTTTTTGCTCTCAGTCCACTGGCTCAATGGAAAAAAAATGTTTCAGTCTGCATTTTGGACAATAAGGAAGAAACCACATACTGATGAGGTTATTCCTCTGTCTCCACCTTCTCCTGTCTCCACCTTCATGATTGATATTGAATTTAAATGATTTTTTGTAAGGAACCCTTTGCTGTCATCCTGCTCAGCCCTCACTCAATCCAGCACTGTACCCATTTGTAGTGTCTCTCCCCGCACAGAGCAGGTAAGTATAACATATATTTGTAAAGTGAAACTTTTTTTTTTTTTTTTTTTTTAATCGTTTTAATTACTTTAGGGTTAAATAGACATTAAACCTTTTTTGTTTGTTAAATAATGATAAACAGAAATCAGAAAACTGATAAAATACTAGTTATTTCACTTCAGGTTTATTCCTTTCAAAATCACTTGTGTTTGTGTTTTTTTTTTTTCTTTCTTTTTTTAACCTCTATATGCAATTTCAGCAAGCCTTCAGTATATTCCCAGCCCTATTTCACGCATAATCACATAAAAGTGGAAAACGCTAGATAAAAATGGATCAACAACAGAATAAAAGTGCACTGCGTCTTTCATCTGATTCCCATAGGCAGTGTAAACATTTAAACAAATACACAATGAGAACTGTAATGTGCTATATTTCTAAAACTGAAAAGGGAAGACACAGTATGCAAATGTTTGAGGTCAAAATAACTAAAAGACCCCAGTTTTACTGCAATTCTTTCTTGCTTTTTAAGATTTAAAAAGCCTAAGAATGGAACAGTGATGAAACTTAACTTAACCTAGACTTTAGGATGTTTTGTAGATGCTATATTAGATGTACTTTTATTGTCTTTCAGGTTTTGAACTTACCTTTTATTCTGGTGTGTTTGGCACTTGCATTGGAGCAATCAACTGGTTCGGAGCCGATGCCAAGAGCTTAATTGGGCTATCTGGAATATTTGTCGGCATTGGAGAAGTTTTAGGTTGGTATTTTTTAAATCCAATTCTTATTTGCTTTAACCTAGTGGGCATTGTAAAGTTTAGTTTCATATAGAGAACTTTCCAGAAACTTGGTCCACTCAAAAATAAAGGTTTTTGTTCCCGTCCACTGAGAGACACAAGAACTCTTTAACTTCCAGGTTATGCTACTGCCTACAAGAGTATTGGACAAACTGTAGGCCCCGCCAGGGTTTCCTTCTCCCACTGCTGGCATACTTCTGTTTTTTCCTAGTTTCCTAGGAGGATCCTGTGTTCAGGCTGACTTTTTTTTTTTTTTAGCACCTTTTCAATTTTGTTCCCCTAATCAAGACTCCACTGTACATTGGTGCTGGAGCTTGGTCTTGCACCTTTCCATTGCGGCTTTGTAGATGTCTTTCTTGTACTGTTGTGCTTCCTTTAATTTAAATCTTCCTCCTCTGATGTCCACCCCAGCCGCTGTACTCTTCTGTTGTTGGGGACGGTGGGATTTGTACGAGGTTATTACAGCTAAGGGTCTGTCATAGACTCTCAAGAGAGCCTGACTATGCCTTCCCTTTCCACCCAGATCCACCATTCATAGAAGGAAGGATCTAAGAATGGAGAATAGTCAGGTGATTGATCACGGCAGGCACACCTTCAGAAACATGCCTCCTCAGTTGGGGATCACTGTCCTGGACCTGTATAGCATTCTCCCAGACCAACAGGCAGTGAAAAGATTGCACAAGTCTCCATTGCACAGGGTTCAGTGCCGAAGGCAATGTTATAGACCATCCTCGCAAGTCCATCATGGGGTGCGGGTACCTTCCCTCTTGGCCTCAGGCTGTAGGCAACAGATCCAAATGTAGTTTATCTCCTGTCCTTACTAGGAATCTTGAAAAACTATTTGAAAACCTAATGCAGAGACTGCACAAAACTGACCATCACTTAAGACATTAGCAAAAAAAAAAAAGAGGTAGTGCCTGACTGAGAGGGGTTATGCCTGGTAGAGGAATTACTGTCTTACAGTTCCTTGAAAAAGTATACATACCCCTTGAAATTTGTCATGTTACACCCAAAAACGTAAATTGATTTTTTTGTGATTTTATGTGATAGACATACACAAAGGGGCAAATAATTGTGAAGTGGCAGGAAAATGATAAAAGGTTTTCGAAAAGTTTTACAAATATCTGAAAAGTGTGGCATGCATTTGTGTTCAGCCTCCTTTACTCTGATACCCCTAACTAAAATCTAGTGGAACCAATTGCCTTCAGAAGTAACCAAATTAGTAAATAGAGTCCACCTGCGTGTAATTTAATCTCAGTATAAATACAGCTGTTCTGTGACGCACTCAGAGGTTTGTTAGAGAACATTAGTGAACAAACAGCATCATGAAGGCCAAAGAACACACCAGCCAGGTCAGGGATAAAGTTGTGGAGAAGTTGAAAGCAGGGTTAGGTTATAAAAAAAAATATATCTCAAGCTTTGAACATCTCATGTAGCACTGTTCAATCCATTATCCGAAAATGGAAAGAGTATGTCGCAATGCATACCTGCAAGACTTGGCTGTCCACCTAAACTGACAGGCTGGCCTTTATGGAAGAGTGGCAAGAAGAAAGCCAGCCATAAGAAGTCCCATTTGCTGTTTGTGAGAAGCCATGGGGGGTGGGGGGGGGGGGGGCAGCAAACATGGAAGAAGGTGCTCTGGTCAGATGAGACCAAAATTGAACTTTTTGGCCCAAAAGCAAAACACTGTGTGGAGAAGAACTAACACTACACATCATCCTGAACACACCATCCCCACTGTGAAACATGGTGGAAGCAGCATCATGTTGTGGGGATGCTTTTCTTCAACAGGGAAAGGGAAGCTGGTTAGAGTTGATGGGAAGATGGATGGAGCCAAATAGAGGGCAATCTTAGAAGAGAACCTGTTAGAGTCTGCAAAAGACTTGAGACTGGGGCGAGGTTCACCTTCCAGCAGGACAACGACCCTAAACATACAGCCAGAGCTACAATGGAATGGTTTAGTCAAAGCATATTCAGGTGTTAGAATGGCCCAGTCAAAGTCCAGACCTAAATCCAATTGAGAATCTGTGGCAAGATTTGAAAAATTGCTGTTCACAGATGCTCTCCATCCAATCTGACAGAGCTTGTGCTATTTTGCAAAGAAGAATGGGCAAAAATTTCAGTCTCTAGATGTGCAAAGCTAGTAGAGACATCCCCAAAAAGACTTGCAGCTGTAATTGCAGAGAGAGGCGGTTCTACAAAGTATTGACTCGGGATTTGAATACAAATGCATGCCACACTTTTCACAGATTTATTTGTAAAAAAATTTGAAAACCATTTATCATTTTCCTTCCACTTCACAATTATGTGCCACTTTGTGTTGGTCTATCACATAAAATACCAATAAAATACATTTACGTTTTTTGGTTATAACATGACAAAATGTTGAAAATTTCAAGGGGTATGAATACTTTTTCAAGGCACGGTATTTGTTTTGCAAGTATCAAGTCGCAATAGATATGATGCCCTGTGTCATACAATAGATGAGAGGAAAAGAAGCATTTTTGGACTTGATTTACAATTCTTTTCTTGCTACATGCTGGGAGTGGCAGGGGTTATCCGGGGCTGGCCTACATATTTTTTTTGTTTGCCAGTGTCCAATCCTCCTGTAGGCGGCAGTATAACCATAAGGTTTAAGATTCCTCTTGGATTTTCCAGTGGGTGCATAGATATTTTTGGGCTACTGCTTGGGTTGCCACCTCATCCCTTTAAAAACCGGACACATATTAGTTACACAGGTTTTGAGGCTAATTTTTTGCAGATAAGGCATCAAGTGAGTTTAATCACCACAGAACCTGTGTAATTAATGTGTATTTGATTTTGAAAAGATGAGGTGGCAACCCTAGCTTCTGTCCACTTTAATTCCTCAAAAAGGCATTACCATCACAGTGGTCACATACACCATGAACAGCCTCCTGGCTATTTTAGACCCTCGAAGGCCAGACAGGGCTGGACACATGCTCCTTGTGTGTCTGTATATGCACACTGCTCATGTAGCCTCCTTTCTCCTGAGGAGGAAGCAATGACCATTAAGAGTACATTTTTGTGGGCAACACTCACCTGTCTACAATTAGTCTCACGCCTTTTTACCCATTCATTGCTGAAACAGGCTCTATCCCTGTCAGTATGTGCGTTCCTACACAGTGACAGACCGTCAGCCTGTCGTATCATGTAAACCATTTCTCGGAAAGGTTAAAGGTATTCTTTATGCACCTCCATCACTCCTCTCTCTCTCCCTTCTCATGCCCTCTTCATCTCCCTTGCTTTGGTGGGTCTTACAGGTTCACTTTAAGGTAAATTTAAGTGAACTTTCAAACTTAACCACATTTGCTGTGTTTTTCTAGATATTTTTAACAGTTCACTGATTGTATTGACTTGTTGCATAGAATTGCTCTTTAAACACGGAAAGTAAGCATTTGTTGAAGCCTTCCAGCTGTGCAGAATTTCATTTTTGTACTGTGAACTGATTAAAAATCTTCCTGTCTACTTTATAGGTGGAGCAGTCTTTGGATTACTCAGCAAGAATAGTCGCTTTGGCAGAAATCCAGTCTTTCTATTTGGGCTTGTTGTTCATTTTCTTGCTTTCTACCTGATCTTCCTCAGTATTCCTACTGATGCCCCTATTGCCTCACGTGATGGGACTTACAGTCGGGCATATGTAGATCCTAGGTAGGAAATTTTTTTTTAATTGCATTTTTTTCTGCCTTTATAAAACTAAATATGAATATATTTTATAACCTAATATTTAACTTATTTCTCATAGAGATCAACAACATATTTTAGTGTTTTACAGAGAGTACGTCACTTCAGTTCTTTTACCAGTGAAGTTAGAGTGGTGTTTAAGGCAGGATGTTTTTTTTAACTTCATGTATTCTATGCCTGAAGGTGAAAAAAAAAACCTGAGCGCTGCTTTCCCCGGAGCCCCCCTCCCAATAGGCTCCCTCTATTGTCAATCACAGCCAGTGAGTAGGGGGTAGGGCCGAGCCATGCTCTGTAAGGCTGGTCATACACTATACAATTTTTTTGAGAATTGTGCTTTAGATTTGCCAAAAACCATATAATTGAAGGTCAAACCTTAACAACACTTTCAATTGTATCAAATTAGGCAAGCCCTTGCACTACATAGTTGCAGGTAAATCTAAAGGAAATTGGACAGAAAATTGTGTAGTGTATGGCCAGCCTAAGTCTTTTGGACAAAACAGGCAGCTTGGCAGGATGCAAGTATGAGTGCCCCCAGAGAAAGCAGCTTGCTATTGTGGCACTGAGCATCAGGGAGAAGCCAGGAGCACTGGCAGGGTACCCAAGAAATGGAGGATCAGGGCTGCTCTGTGCAAAACCATTGCACCAATGGTGCTGCTCTGTGCAAAACCATTGCACCAAGGGAAGTATGACGTGTTATTTAAAAAAAAAAAAAATTTAAATGTAGAATCACTTTGTCTATTGCCCCAACCACAGTCCTACAGACATACATACTCTAGGGTCCCTTTGATCAGACGTAACTTCAGCTATTAATGTTTTTGGACTGTAGGAAGAAACCAGGACACAGAGAAGACCCCACACAAAAATATATAGAATGTACAAACTCTGCTGATGGTATTCAAGAACCTAGGATGCCAATACCACAGAATATAAAGTGTTAAACATTTATCCAGTTTGCATAGATGATGTATAGTAATAAAATAAAAACACTATAGATGATGTAATATAGGATGTATAAAATGCAGCTTCTGTCGTCATTGGTAACTAATTAAATTTTTTCTGTCAATCTTTGGGCAACAATGTCCCCATTTCCAGTCCTAAACGCCAGAAAATGTTTGATTATATATTCCAGAAATTCTAACATTCTGTAGTGTCTTGTGGTGCATTACTCTGGTGAAAAAGCTAGGAAAAAAACCATTAAAACAACCCTGTCATTAATATAGAAGTCCAAATAAACTCTGCTTTCTGAAATTGATTGCCTCTCCCTGTGCTGCCAAACACAACTCCAATTTTATAGAAATAGTTGGCTGAAGTCTGTGCAGAAACTGACCCCTCTGGAAGTGGGGTCTCCCATTGCTCTCAGTGGTTCCGTCTGCCAACCTTTGTGTTGCTTCTGTGTTCTGTAGTGACAGGTGAGTGGCTGGAAGGAACCATTGAGCGCTGTGAGGAACATAGGAATCTGCACTCCTGGAATCGGTTTCTGCAGATTTCAGCCAGCAATTCCTTTTGATTGGTGATGTGTTCAGCTGCAGGAAAGATATTTATTTACAAGAGCAGGGATTATTGGACTTCCATATTGTTGACAGGGCCACTTTAGCCTATTACATGAGCAATGGTTATCTCTACACAAGCACTTAGTGTATAACAGGTCAGAAATATATCACAGAATCCATTAAGGAGTCTACCCAGCAATCAGATGTAAGCTACTGCAACAGAAATTTTGAGGGTAATATGTTCAACTGTTCAGTAACTAAAGGAAGCCTATATCGAGTGAAGTACACTGACTACAGTCAATGGCTTTCCGAAAATGCTAGTTGCTTGGCTGTTTTTTGCTTAAATATTCTGAGTCACTGTCCTGAAACAAACGTGCACTCAAAGCTGCAGTGAAGTCCAAGCTCCTAATTTCATACAGTGATCTGATATTAAAGCCAAGGAATCGGCATGACTTTCAAGCCATTAGTGTTTTCAGAAGAAATTGTCGGCAGTGAATGCCTACATATATTTTTCTTAGCACAGGTTTCCTTTCACTTTTAACCTCATTTACTTGTAACCTGTAAGAGTGCATTTATTTTAACATAATCACATATCTCAGTTATAAATTAATAAGAAAACATATATATTTTAAGGTGGATTTGCAGCCAACTTTTTATTAGGTGTGGGGAATTGCTGCCCATGTCTCACCTAGGGAGATACCCCTCATGTCCTGTTGGTCTCTGGACAGAAAGTGAGTGAAATCTCTCCAGCAGTGAAATTGCTTTTTTTGTAGGGCGAGTTGCACTCAATTTCTGAATGACTACTGTGATCAATGCTTTTTAGATTTCGAGATAGACCGCAATCAAACCCTGACAAAGGTTCTATGTCCCTGCTAGAGAGATTCACTGGGGTTATTTACAAAAGGCATATAGACTGTTCATTTTGCAAGGGAATTTGGCTCAGCTTTGTAAAGAAGGTGAGGCCTTGCTGACTTCTTTCTTCCATGAGACAATCACGTTCAAGCAAAAATTCTTTTTTTTTTTTTTTTTCATTTTCCCTTTTGATTGGATGGTATTTGCATAGTGAAAATTCACCACATTCGTTAAACTCTGGGGCAACTTCCCCTGCAAAGTGTCAGTAGTATATTTGCCTTTAGTAAATCAACCCCACTCTCTGTTTTTCCAGTTGGCCAGAGTTGACAACAGAGAAGAATAGAAGGTAAATCTTCCCATCAGGACACCTGTTTGGGTGAGAGGTGTTTTCCTTATTTGGGAAAGGTTTCCTCTCATTTCCCTTTGTGTTTTAAAGTACAGGCAATAAAGAGAACTTTCTGCTGCAATGGGACATAGATGGAAGAAAAAAACCTGATATGGGTTTTAACCCTTCCCTACTATAGCCAAAAAGAAAAGTTAAAAGTTGTACTGTAAAAGTTTTCAACTTTTTCAGGCATTTCAATAAAGGAACGCAAGGAGCAGTTTGAAATGTATCTTTGGGCAAATATTAAAGTGATATTAAAGGCAAGTTTTTTTTTTTTTTTTTTGTGTTTTGCTGGAAGGTAAAAAAAACCTTGAGTGTCTGCAACCACTTTAACCCTCTCCCAACCCCCTCTAATCCATGTTAATTTTTTGCCCTTACCTTGTGATACAAGATGTATTTACTTAAATCCTCTATTCAGGCCCCTTGCCAATGCCTTTTCTGCGTGCAGGAGACTGCTAATCCAAGGCTGCATGTGTGCTTGCATCATTCGGTCCCCAGCAGTGCCCTTACACTGATGTCACTGAATCCTTTTCTGGGTTCTGAGAAGACCTCATCTCTGAACAGACAATAGAAAGTGTCTACGTAACACCATGGGAGTAAAATATTGGCTGTAAATGTGGATTTCTTTTTATACTGTTAAATGTTGAAACTTTTGAGCCACTCTGATGCAGTATTTGACAGTAGGGTGGGCAGGGAGAAAAGTTAATGTCTCTGCATACATCAGCGCAAGTTGTGTCTGCATACTAGATACTATAGGGTCAGTTCAGGTTTTATTTATTGTATTTATTTCAGGTACTTATATAGCGCCGTCAATTTACGCAGTGCTTTACATATATATTATACATTCACATCAGTCCCTAACCCTCAAGGGGCGTACAATCTAAGGTCCCTAACTCACATTCATACATACACATACTAGGGACAATTTAGACAGGATCCAATTCACCTACCAGCATGAATTTGGAGTGTAGGAGGAAACCGGAGTACCCGGAAGAAACCCACACAGGCACAGGGAGAACATGGAAACTCCAGGCAGGTGGTGCTGTGGCTGGAATTAGAACCAACGACCCTAGTACTGCCAGGCGGAAGTGCTAACCATTTAGCCACTGTGCTGCCCCATGTTAAAATTCAGTTTAACAGTTTTTGGCGGATATCTAAAAGTTTTTATTCTTTTAGGGACTGCTGTGGTAGAAATCTAAATCTTTTCCCAAGTCTGAGCACATAGCAAAGTAGTCACAAATCAGTCCCACTCTTCTTGCTGAGTTTTTCTCCTATTTCATATATTAGCCATAAGCAGCATCTGTTTCCTCTTGTACCAAATTGTATTGTAACCATAATGTCTACCTTCATTTTGTAAAGCGCTGTGCAAACTGTTGGCACTATATAAATCCTGTATAATAATAATAATAATAGGAGATGTGGGAACACCCTAAACTCCAAAAGGAAGAGGGAGCAAACCCTGGTACAATGGCAGGTAGATCTCAGCTCTGGAGTCCCCAAAATAAAAAACACACCAACTACAACTGAAACATCAGTGTTTGGTGCACCAACAAGGAGAAAGCTTAGGTTATCGGCATGAGGTAAGGTAGCTGATAGGACAGCAGTTGGTGGTTTTGTTCCCTCTTATCTCTGACTTTCGGGTTAGAAAATCTAACAAATAAGGGGACTTTACTTTTTTTCTTTTTTTTTTTTTTAATATGTAAAATTGTAATAATAGATTGAATATTTATTTTGTTGCGTTAAGCCCTATGCTTTGCATCACAGAGGAGCACTATGATTTAAGGCCTATCCACTGAGCAGTTGGCCTACAGCAGCGGTTCTCAACCTGTGGGTCGCGACCCCTTTGGGGGTCGAACAACCCTTTCACAGGGGTCTCCTAAGACCATCGGAAAACACATATTTCCGATGGTCTTAGGAACCGAGACACCGCTCCTCTATCAGTTTTCAGGCGGGTCCACCCACATGCAGATACGTCCACATTTCCCTGGACGCGATGTGTGCGCGGGATGACATGCCGCCCCTGTCATCTGGCCACATCCCCGGGATCAGAAGGGAGCAGCCGGAGAAGGAAGACAGCTGACAGGTAAGTGTCTGTAGCGTGCAGATGGTGCTGCTGCAGCCAGGTATGCTTGCTGTAGATGGGAGAGGGAGGGAGCGAGCCCAGGCTGGAGCAGGGGTCAGCCAGGTAAGTATCATTGGTGTCAGTAGGAGGAATAGTGCCCCATGATTGGTGTCACTAATACCAATGATGGGGCACTATTCCTCCCACTGACACCAACGATGGGGCACTATTCCTCCCCCCTCTGACACCAACGATGGGGCACTATTCGCCAACGATCCCCCCACTGACGCCAACGATGGGGCACTATTCCTCCCCCCACTGACGCCAACGATGGGGCACTATTCCTGACGCCAACCCCCACTGACGCCAACGATGGGGCACTATTCCTCCCCCCACTGACCCCAACGCTGGGGCACTATTCCTCCCCCCACTGACGCCAACGCTGGGGCACTATTCCTCCCCCCACTGACGCCAACGCTGGGGCACTATTCCTCCCCCCACTGACGCCAACGCTGGGGCACTATTTCCCCCACCACTGGGGACTATTCCTCCCCCCAACGCTGGGGCACTATTCCTCCCCCCACTGACGCCAACGCTGGGGCACTATTCCTCCCCCCACTGACGCCAACGCACTGACGCCAACGCTGGGGCACTATTCCTCCCCCCACTGACGCCAACGCTGGGGCACTATTCCTCCCCCCACTGACGCCAACGCTGGCTGGGGCACTATTCCTCCTCCCCCCACTCCCCCCACTGACGCCAACGCTGGGCACCACTAACGCCAACGCTGGGGCACTATTCCTCCCCCCACTGACGCCAACGCTGCTGGGGCACTATTCCTCCCCCCACTGACGCCAACGCTGGGGCACTATTCCTCCCCCCACTGACGCCAACGCTGGGGCACTATTCCTCCCCCCACTGACGCCAACGCTGGGGCACTATTCCTCCCCCCACTGACGCCAACGCTGGGGCACTATTCCTCCCCCCCCCGCTGACGCCAACGCTGGGGCACTATTCCTCCCCCCCCACTGACGCCAACGCTGGGGCACTATTCCCCCCCACTGACGCCAACCCCCACTGACGCCAACGCTGGGGCACTATTCCTCCCCCCCCCACTGACGCCAACGCTGGGGCACTATTCCTCCCCCCACTGACGCCAACGCTGGGGCACTATTCCCCCCCCGCTGGGGCACTATTCCTCCCCCACTGACGCCAACGCTGGGGCACCCCCCCCCACTGACACCAGTGATGTGGCACTACTATTCCTCCCCCCCCCCCCCCCCCACTGACACCTGGGGTGATGTGGCACTACTCCTCCCCCCACTGACGCCCCCCCCCCCCCCCACTGACAACCAGTGATGTGGGGGCACTACTCCCCCACTGACGCCAACCCCCCCCCCCCCCCACTGACACCAGTGATGTGGCACTACTACTCCCCCACTGCAAAATTACAGTTATGAAGTAGCAACGAAAATAATTTTATGGTTGGGGGTCACCACAACATGAGGAACTGTATTAAAGGGTCGCGGCATTAGGAAGGTGAATCCTATTTTCAATCTTGTAGACAGTATGTAGAGAGAAGTCCATTAATATTTAGTACTCAGACTTCAGTAGCAATATTAACATCAAGATTTGCAAGGAAGTTTATTGAAGACAAGCTGGTAAATAAGTAATAGGTATATTCAGGTTTCATTTTTTGTTTCATTTTATTTAAAGACCAGCTGAGTCACATCTAACCATTCTGGTTTGCTTCCTGTAGCAAAGCCCTGGCTATGTTCTGCAGCTTTCTGTTGGGTTTAGGAGACAGCTGCTTCAACACTCAGCTCTTGAGTATTTTGGGAACCCTGTACGCAGATGACAGTGCACCCGCTTTTGCAATATTCAAATTTGTGCAGGTAAGAAACGTGAGAACTCACTCTCGTGTGTATATAAACATGCACGAATATAACCGTTATACAGATTTTTCTCTGCAATGTAAAGGAATATGTTGTGGTTTTCTATTTCTTCTTTCATTCAAATGGTCAAGGCTAAAAAAGAAAAAAAGGTACTTTTGCAGGATACAGGAAGGAACTCTAAAACTGTTGGGTTATACTGCTGCTTACAGGAGGTTGGGGCAATGGCAAAAAGAAAAAAAATGGAAATCCACCCTTTTGGATAACCTTCTTTGCCCAGCATGCTAGTTTCCTAGGAGGTTGGACTTGAGGGAGTTCCCTGCATGAAGCTTCGTTTGTGTTGATTTGGGGATCTGTAAGGTCCCACTGGTTGAATTAAAAAAAAAAAAAAGTACATGTATTGTATACCCAACTGTAAAGTGGTTGTAACACTTTACATATTACCAGTGTAGTGACTAGCCTCAGGTGATACACAGAGATGAAACCAATCCTACATAAGTTTTATCTGTGTATCTGCAGTGATTTGTTCTGTACATCATTGCAAACATAATGTCATATGTATAATCATTTTCTAATCAAACTTTCTTGTGGAACATCTACAGAATATAAACCATTACAAAGCTGCTGCAGGTGTATAGAGTGGATGGTGTCTAAGCTGTCATTATTTATTTATTTCATGTACTTATATAGCGCCGTCAATTTACGCAACGCTTTACATATATATTGTACATTCACATCAGTCCCTAACCCTCAAGGGGTGTACAATCTAAGGTCCCTAACTCACATTCATACATACACATATCAGGGCCAGTTTAGACAGGATCCAATTATCCTGTCTAATTATTGCTCAACCTCTCCAAAACCGAGCTTCTCGTCTTTCCCCCTTCCCGCCCCCCCCCCCCCCCCCCCCATCCTTTCCATCACTACCAACAACACCACCATCAATCCCGCCCAGCAAGCCAAGGTCCTTGGCATCATTCTGGACTCAAACCTTTCCTTTCAACCTCATGTCAAATCACTTACAAACACATGCAGACTCCACCTCCGGAACATCGCCAAGATACGCTCCTTCCTTACCCCAGACACCACTAAACTACTCGTACACTCCTTGATTATCTCACGCCTTGACTACTGCAACTCCCTCCTCACCGGCCTACCCCAGTGCAAACTCTCCCCGCTTCAGACCATCCTGAACTCAGCTGCCAGACTCATCCACCTCACCAGCCGCTCCACCTCTGCCACCCCCCTCTGCCTCTCCCTCCACTGGCTCCCCATTGCCCAATGCATTAAATTCAAACTGCTCACTCTGACCTATAAGGCCATTCACAACACTGCCCCTAACTACCTCACCGACCTGATTCCCAGGTACCACCCTACCCGTACCCTTCGCTTTTCACAGGACCTCCTTCTGTCTTGCTCCCTGGTCTCCTCCTCCCACGCACGACTGCAAGACTTCTCCAGGCCCTCCCCCATCCTCTGGAACTCACTACCCCAATCCATCAGACTGTCACCTTGTCCTCATCTTCAGGCGCTCCCTGAAAAACCCACCTCTTCAGGGAAGCCTACCCCACCCTCACCTAACAGCCGCTGCCCTTCCCTCCTCCTACCACTCCATCCCCCACAGCCATTTCCTCGTGTACCTCTACCCCCTCCCTCCTAGATTGTAAGCTCGAAAGAGTAGGGCCCTCTTGCCCCTTGTGTGCTGTTTGATGTTACTGTACTGTTTCATGTATTGTCCCCCCCTCTATTGTACAGCGCTGAGCAAACCCTTTGGCGCTATATAAACCCGATAAATAAATAAATAAAAATAATAAATCCTACCAGCATGTCTTTGGAGTGTGGGAGGAAAGCGGAGTACCTAGAGGAAACCCACGCAGGCACAGGGAGAACATGCAAACTCCCGGCAGGTGGTGCTGTGGTGGGATTCGAACCAACGACCACAGTACTGCCAGTGGAAGTGCTAACCATTTAGCCACTGTGCTGCCCTATCATTCGTAATGTTAGCCTCACACATAGCAACTTTCATATGATTCCAAACATATTTGTCCGCTTTCAAAAGGCAAGCAATGGAGTAGATTTACAAAGCATCAACACTTTTTTAGATAATTTTTTTGATATCCATAGAATAGCCACTTTCACACTGGTGCACTTTTGCTGTGCGTTTCCAGGTCGACAAAACGGCATGAAAACTATTGTCCATTAAATCTTATGTAACTGTTCACACTGCATTCTAAAAAGTCTTGCATGTTGCATCTTTGATGCAGTTTTTCAAAAGCACATCAAAGAGGCACCTTCCATTGTAAGTCAATGGGAGCATGACAAAAGTGCATCAGTGTAAAATCTGCACAAAAGCGCATTGGTGTGAAAGGAGCCAAACTGTATATGGTAGGTTCCGTTAATTGTTTAAGTTATGTTGCATTTGAAATCTCGTTAGAAGTCCTGAAAATTGGTGTTTGTGGCTAGCTTTAGGCACAGCTAATCTAAATCCACAGGCCTCCTCATTCAGGGCAGCTTTGTCAGAGTTTTAGTATGGCTGTGCCAAGCAACGGTAGAGTGGGCATAGTGTGACATACACGTATCTATCTGTCTGTCCATCTATCCTGTCTATCCATCTATCATCATCTATCTCTCTCTCCTATCTATCTCTCCATCTCTCTCTCTCTATCCATCTATCTATCTACTAACATCCACAGGATGTTATTGTGGAATGCTTGCTCAGGTGCAGCCTTCCTCAGGTCAGGAAACCTCCTGTCAACTGCAAAAGACGCACAAGAGGGTGCATAACTCCTCGTTCATTACTACCATACAATTTATTAGATCCTTAAAGACAAATAGATACTCACAAGCAGTTAAAAACAGCAGGCATATAGCATAAGCAGTTCCGTTTTGGGGGGTGAGTCCCATTCTAAAACCATCTGGTTGGAAAGCTAATGTGTATCGGGGGTCGAGTCCCCTTCTTCAGAGTTCTGAAGAATGGGGCTTGACCCTCAAAACACATTGGCTTTCCAACCAGATTGGACTCACCGCTCAAGACTGAACTATTGTTTTTACTGCTTGTGAGTATCCATTTGTTTTTGAGGATCCAATAAATTGTATTGTGGTTTTTGTTGGATTTTATTTTTTATATAGTATGATTTATTTCCACTGCTGTAACATGTTAACTACTTTTAATTGTAAGGAAATTCAGTTTTGATATGATTAGAATACAGTTGCTCTTTAAACATATTAGAAATATTTTGGATAGAGAGGTCTAATTGATGGATTAAATTTGCCTCATACATAAGCAATCACCACAGAATTTTAGATTGTGAACGTGGTAATCAGCTAGTCACTACTTGTTCTGATTAACACGTATCTGTTAATGATTTTTTTTTTCTGAGTACATATATTTATAGAAATGTTAGTGATTCATGAAAAGCAGATGTATGGTAATGAGCGATGTCAGTAACACTCTTGTATCTCCCTATTATTCAGTCTATCAGCGCAGCTGTTGCATTCTTTTATAGCAACTACCTCCTCCTGCAGTGGCAGCTGTTAATCATGGTGATATTTGGATTCTTTGGCACCATCTCATTTTTCTTTGTGGAGTGGGGAACGGTCAGCTTGGATCCTCAAGAGACTCGCTACGGCAGTATCTGATGAAGATGTGCTGCTCTGCAGCTACTGGTTGATAGAGTGAAAAGGCTCAGAGCTTGTCTGGCACCTTTTAGAGGTTAATTAAGGAACATGTGGATCTGCGCTGGCCGCAGGACATTCCCTAGAGCTACTCTGTGCTACTTTTTTTGGATTCAGGACAACTTTGACGTGACCATAATGCACTCTGTCCCCAACGTCTTCTGGGAAAGAGAGAAAACATATGGCAGTGGTTCACAGACATTGATAGTGCAATAGCTGCTACACTCCTTTGCCTGCTGTTATTACTTGATCGTGTTTATCACCTGACAAAGTCTGATTATTCACAACCCTTTGATCACTGAATGCAAAGAACTTTATCAGACATCACACTCCATGCCCCTTTTACCATGTGATATTTTAGTGGCAGTTTTATAAATGGGAGTTGGGCTTACTGTACAGTGACTATATAACTAAAAATACTTGACTACAAAAAATTGCTGTTATGTCAAAGTATGAAATTTTGTGTTTGGTGCCAAATTGTGTTTTTTTTTTTTTTTCTTTTTTACCCCTTAAAGAATGTATAGTTAGCCTTAGTTTCAGCCGTCATCCAAAGTTTTTGGTATGTTTTTACACTGCTCTTGCTATTCTGTAAATTGTTTGCACTCAGGTCTTTTTAAAAACTGCTAATGTGTTGTATTTGTTTTATATTTCTATGAAAATAGCAAGACCATACTTGACTGATGGCCTCTTGTTTTAATAAAGTGTCTCGTAAGGGGAGATGGTGATGTGCATAGCAGCCAAGTCACTTCCAGAGGTCATTCCACAACGGTTTTATTGCAGGGCCTTACATTGCCTTCTTGGTAACTCAGTCTCACTACTATTTTCACAAGTGATCAATTGCTATACAAATGGAACACATGGCACTCTACTGGATAAGTTTCACAATCAACAATTGCACACAATGCTTTGTGTGGGATTACTAACTTCTCAAAGCTATGGTGTATTAGATCACACCAAACTCTTTACAAATAGCAACTAAACAATAGTGGAGGGAGTAGATTGCTATAAATTAACTTTATGCCCCTGCACTTACAGCCCATTTGTAGCTTTTTGCAAAATGTAATAGACCAAAGGAAGGCCCATAAAAACATTGGGTTGATTTTACTAAAATTGGAGAGTGCAAGTCTTGTGCAACTCTGCATACAAACCAATCAGCTTTCAGATTTTTTATTTTTTTTGGCACAGCTTAATGGGACAAGCTGAAGTTAGAAGCTGATTGGCTACCATGCACAGCTACACCAGATTTTGCACTTTCACGCTTTAGTAAA